AATAAAATCCAAAAATGAACCCAGCACCATTAACCACACCCCAAAGTGCACCCAAACCTTCTGGAAACTTCCAGGGAAAAGCAGAATCCTGCTTGCTCTTCCCTCCTGCTCATTCCTTCTTCTCTCTGCAGGGATTTGGGAACCAAATAAAAAACCAGGCAGGAACTTTTGAGTTTAGTAAAATCATTTATATACAGGATGGGTAATATTTACAATGTAATACTGATCCAAAAGGAACTAACAGGGAACACTGAGAGGAAAATGAGAACATTTTAACACACAGGAGTTAAACATGGGCACAGACTCGAGTTTCCAAAAGAAAATCCAGAAGTAATGACAGCAAAAGTTTGACATGTTGCTATTTCCAATCAAAATCTCTTTCACTAATCAGGTTCTCCTAATTTTAACATTTATAGAAAAGCTTCAAATAATCAAATCACAGGAGAAGCCAGTTATACAGAAAATTTTGAAAAGGTCAAATGATTTCAAACATTTTTCTTCACTTAAATAAAATTCTAAAAAAAAAAAAACCAAAACCCAACAACCTCCAGAGCTTTCCCACATATTTTTAGTGTTTGTACAAAGAAATTCTTCTTTGATCCCACACTTCCAGCTCGAGATATTTACAATATTCACAGTCTGCTACAAAGGATCAGTAGATTTATTACCAAGTCAAGCCTCAGAGAATCAAGACAAGGTGTCTTGCACTTGCTTCAACTGAAAAATCAACTAAACCCAGGAAGGAGAAAGTCAAATGCTACTTTCAAACACATAAATGAATCCATTAAAGTTATTGAACTTTGAAATGTAAAACAGAACTTTTCCAAGAGTAAAAAAAAAATCAACTTTCTCATAGAAACAAAACCATTTGACCTTGAATCTTCAAATTTTGTTTTCTTAATCTGTCCCTCCTCCCTCTGCTTCAAATCAGGCTCTTATTATTTATCACAGACAAGAAAATGGAGATTAAATCCATCAAAAGCAGTTCCTTGTGGCAAAAGCCCTTGGAAATTTGTACAAATGTTCCCCCCTCAGGATCAGCAGCACTTGAGGGATGAAGAACAGGAGGAATCCTCAGATCCCACCTTCCTCTCTGGCTGCAATTCCAACAAATCCTGACTCCCCAAATCTGCCTGAGGCTGTTCCTGCTGGGAGGGCAGAGTCACAAAGTGCTTTTGGAAGGGATTTTTTTTTTGCTCTGCCATTCAAACAAAGGCGATTTTCTTGTTTCCATCTCTATCTGCCACACTTGAAAGTTTCAATTCCTCAGAAAAAAAACACGGATTTCAAGTTCAAAATGAAATCAGTTCAAGACATGACCTAGAATTTGAGCAAGGACAGAAATGCACATAACAGGGCTTGATGGTACAGCCAAAAAAAAGTGACAAAAACTCTCAATTTTTGCTAATTCTCTTCAGTTTTCATCAAGAGGTCAGTGCACAAATATTCCAGGTAATGTCAGAGGTTCCATCAGAGCACGGATAAGCAGGGACTGTTCTTACCCTGCATTGGAAAAAACTGCCCACAGGATGAAGGAAAGCTGACAGAGAACAGGAAACAAAACATCTCCTTCATGTAGAAAAAACAAGTCACTGTTTAGAAAAATTGTATAGAAAGAGTCAGACACTGCACTAAAGCCGCAAGGAAATTTTGGTATAGAAAAGAGACCAAAAAAAAAAAAATAAACAAACAACAAGGCTGGACTTTTGTAGGAGAGAACTGGGAGATTGATGGCTCAGGTTGGTCAATGTAAACCCAAAAATGGATGAGCTGTGAGAGACAACAACGTTCAGGAGTGGTCACTGAGGGCCCTGGGTTGGCACTTCAGTCTGCAGACCAAACCCAGCCGTGTCTGCACGGATTTGGTACCAAAATAGCTCTATAAAAAGCCTCCGCCCGATCTTTGAAAGAAAGAGAAGCAGAAAAGGTAGAAAACTAGAACTATGTACAGATTCTTGCCATTGGTTTGTTTCATCAGGATTTTAAAAAAGCAGCTTTTGGAGCCAATGTTCCAGACTAGAGAAAGAACCTGCCCTGGGGAGCAGGGAGCAGCCCTGCAGTTGTGGCTCCCCCAAAAAGGAGCTTGAAGGCATCAGAGATGAGAATTTGAGCTCCAGAGAAATCCCAGGGGTTCCCCAGAGCACTGGGAGCTCTGCCAAACAAAAGGACAACTCAAAACCCAAGCTTGGATCTTCTAGGAAGGAAAGAATGGGAATATCCCAAACAAACAAAGCCCAGGCTGGTCTCGGTCCATAGAAGATCCCACCATGGAAATTAAAAAGAATTTGTGCATAAGGACTTGAACATTCTTCTGTTCTGCTCTTGGACAAGGTGAGAAAAAGAAGAGTTTTGTGCTGAATGGCTGATTCAGCCTTAAAAAAGCTCTGAGGAAGATGAGGAGAAAGAAAGAGAGGAGGTTAAGCCTTAAAGAAGGTCCGAGGGAGATGGGGAAGGTGACAAAACAAGAGAGTCACTGCTCAGAACTGAAAACTTCAGCAAGCACATGGGCCAGGCACCAAGCCAAACTGAAGGGCATTTAATTGATTTTTCTCTACCTAAAGACCTGGAATTTAGGTGCCAAGGGGAGCTGGGAATTTGCATTTCACAGCACTTGCTTCAAGTACTCACTGAGCAGGAGCTTGAGAAACTGTGGCTCTCCTTCTCACACAGTCACTGCAGGGGCTGGATGTGGCAGGTGAAAGGCAGCTTCTGCAACTGGTTATTAAGAAAAAAAAATGGTTTTTAACAATAAAATCCACCCCATTTGTGGGGCTCATGATTAACAGTACATAAGTGATCATATATACCTCGAGGAACTGAGTTTTAAAAAAATATTACAGTACCAATGATTTTTTTTTTCTTTGTATCTACAACTATACAGCATTTTCAAGCAGTATGGAAATTTAATGAAATAATTATGATTTATTAATTTACATAAAAATACTTTTTACAGTTAAAGAATAAATCTTAAATGGTAAAAAAAATAAGATTAAGAAGCTCCAGCTATTGAGAGTCGTGGGAATTTGTCTGCTCTTCGATCACTTGTTTGACAATTTCTGCCAGTTTTAGTCGATCCACTTTGTCTGTGAATCCTCTGCCTGGAAGGGGAAAGAAACAAAACCAGGGAATCAGCTGGAGCTGGGCACAAGGAGGAAAGCAATCCCAGCTGGAATTAAACAATGGAATTGTTTAATTAATTAA